GCTACGCGCGGGACGCCGACTGGGTCGTCTTGACCGCGGGGAGCCCGTGCCAAGACCTTGCGAGCATCAATGTCGTGGGGACCGGCCTAGAGGGGTCGAGGTCGAGGCTCTTCTTCCGGGTCCCCGAGCTGATCCAGGCAGCGGAGGCTGCCTTTCCCAAGCGCACCATGTGGTTCGTCGAGAACGTGTTCAGCATGACCCTAGAGTCGAGGGCGGAGTTCACCAGGGCGCTTGGAGTCACGCCCGTGTTCCTCGATGCCAGGTGTCTCACTCACGTCAGGCGGCCCCGCCTGTACTGGTGCTCGTGGCCGGTCACGGCGTTCTTGGCGTCCGACGCCACCGTCGAGACCAAGGGTGTGGGAGAAGCCGCGTACTTCAAGGTCTCGCTTGCGGTGGAGAGGCTCCCACTGAGTGCCTCGCTCCTGGAGGGCTGGTCGACGCTGGACCCTGAGGCAGACCTCCCGTGCTTCGCGAGGCCAATCCCGCGAAGCCACCCGCCGTTCCGGCCCGTGGGCCTCGACGTCGCGCCTCGGCGCTGGCCGCGGAGCGCTGGGCTGCCGACAGCTACCGCTACCAGGTCAACAACTACGAGGACGGCAGCCTCATCTGGGACGCGAGGCGCGAGCGGGGCCGGCTGCCCGTGCCTGAGGAACGCGCTGCTCTGATGGGGTTCGACCGTCTCTATTTCCAGGCCGCTGTAAAAGATAGTGCCCCCGCCGCCGAGCGAGACAGCGTCATTGAGTCCCTGATCGGGAATACGTTCTGCGTCCAGGCTGTCATGTATCTTCTCGGCTCGTGGCTCGCTCAAGTGGGGGCGCTAGCGGCCGCCATCCCAGGCAGCAGCTGCCTCGCTGTGGGCACGTGCGAGGCGAACTGGAACGTGGTCCCCGACTTCCAGCAGCCGGGACATCACGACCCGCAGTTGGAACGCAGCCTGATCGTAGAGTTCCTGCGGGTCGCGGACCGCGGGGGCACGGACGTCCGGCTTGACACCGGGGCGCCCTACCGCGCCCGCGCGTGGCCGCGGGCAGCACTCCGTACGCACCTCTGGGCCTGGCGGATCGCCAAAGGCTTTCGCTGGCAGCGGCCTGGGCACATCTCGGCGCTGGAGCTGGAGGCTGCGGTGGCTGGAGCGCGCTGGAGGTGCCGGGCAGTTGAGAACCACCGCTGCCGCTACCTGCACATTCTGGATGCCCAAGCGATCGCGGCAGTCGGCACCAAGGGCAGATCGAGCGCGAGGGCTTTGCAGCCAGCGCTCCGCCGGCTCAACTCCCTGCTCCTCGCGACGGCAGGGTACCCGCTGTACGGCTACTGCGACACCGACGACATGCCCGCCGACACGCCGTCCCGCTGGAGCTTCGGCCGCCGCTGCCACGCCCCCAGTGCTGCCGCCGGCGAGGGCCAGGAGGGCCGCCCCCGGCAAGCGTGCAGCGCAAGCAGCAGCAAAGGTGAGCCAGGTCACGGCCCAGGCGATGGCGCGACGAGCTGCAGCGAGGTCCCAACCGCTGAGGGAGGCGATGGTCACGCCGCTCACCCTGCAGCGGTACCGTGCGGCGGTCGATGATGTCGTTGATTTCTGGATCCAGGAGCACCGGCAGCCGCAGACGCCCGCTCAGGTCGACGCTGGCGTGGCCGCCTTCATCGAGAGCCGTTGGCTGAGCGGAGGATCTTTATTTGAGATTAATAATGCAATCGCAGGCATCACGCACGCATTCCCGCCCGTGCGAGGGCACCTGCGGGACAGCTGGCGCTTGGCCAAGACGTGGCAACGCCTGGAGCCAGCTGGGCGGGCGCTGCCGATCGGGCCGCTGATTGCGGCAGCGTTCGCAGGGGCATTTGCGGCCGTGGGCCAGCTGGGCGCTGCGGCGGTGCTGGCAGCAGGCTACGACGCATTCCTCCGGACGAGTGAGATGACCTCGCTCGTGTGGTCCGACGTGCAGCTGTATCCACTCCGCCAAATGGCCGTGCTGCAGCTGCGCAACACCAAGAGCCAGCATCAGACTGGTGCCCGAGAGTTCGTGCTCGTGCGGAGCGGCGTAGCGGTCGCCCTCCTCGCCAGGGCAAAGGCTCAGGCGCACAAGCAGGACTTGTGCCTCGGGATGGAGCCAAGCAGTTTCATGAGCACCTTTGGCCGCGTGCGTGAGCTGCTGGAGCTGCAAGATGCGAAGCTCACCCTCTACAGCTGGCGTCGGGGCGGCGCGTCCGCCGACTTCCGCAGCCACGGCTCCATGGAGCAGACGCTGCTCCGAGGCAGGTGGGCCTCGGCGCGCACGGCCCGCTTGTATGTCCAGGATGCCGTCGCCGAGGCCACTCAATTAAATCTCTCGCCCACGCAGCGGAGGCGCTGCGGCCTGCTCGCGTCCCGACTGCGAGCAGAAGCGAGATGAACTGTTCTTGCTTTGTACTGCCTGTCTGTCTGTCCCGCCCATCCTCCACCTTTCCTCCCTCATTTCATTAAAGCAGGGTGGAGGAAATAGGTAAGAGCAAGAGGGAGCGGCTATTGCCAGGGTAGGGACCGTGGAGAGAGCTAGGGGGTTCAGGGGTTGGTGACGTTAACCTCCCGGCGGTGCAAGTGTGTCAGCTCGTCTGGGATGCAGCGCGGGTGCTTAAGCGCCACGGCTGTGCCAGGCGGGTTGGGAGGCCCTTGGATGCCGCTGACGGGACGGGACCTCTCCCAACTCCTGGGTTGACCCCTGAGTAGCCCCCAGAGGTCCTGGCCTGACAAGCTCCCTGGCGGAGTGCACAAAAACAGGTGTAGACAAGCATATAGTAACCTTCCAAGGAAGCCTATGCGGAGTCCACCTGAGCGTGCGCGACGCCGTTGATGGGGAACGGTTGAGTTTCATCCATCTTCCGTAGCTGTGTTGGCCCACCCACAGACAGGGGGCAGCATAGCTACCGTCTCGCGCGTGGCCGTGCCTGCCTCCGCGCGAGTGATTGCCAGGACGAGAGCTAGGGGGTTCAGGGGTTGGTGACGTTAACCTCCCGGCGGTGCAAGTGTGTCAGCTCGTCTGGGATGCAGCGCGGGTGCTTAAGCGCCACGGCTGTGCCAGGCGGGTTGGGAGGCCCTTGGATGCCGCTGACGGGACGGGACCTCTCCCAACTCCTGGGTTGACCCCTGAGTAGCCCCCAGAGGTCCTGGCCTGACAAGCTCCCTGGCGGAGTGCACAAAAACAGGTGTAGACAAGCATATATATATATATATATATATATACACACACGCATAACATGGGGAAGTTGGGAAGCACTCCACTGAAATCCGGGCGTTGCATTTGGCTCATTCTGGTGTATTTGCTTGGATTCGGGCCCCGGGACCATCACAGATCGTTCCCGTGGACAAGTGCCGCCGCAAAGATGGGGTGTCCAGGGCTCCTGTCGCGGTTTTCTGCGGTGTTGCACATTTTTCGCAGCGTCGGATCTCAGGGTCCCCCAGGCTGTGGCGCAAGCGGTCCCGCCTGCGGTCACCCGCGGGGAGGGGGCCTCAGGGGCTCGATGTATCCAACGTCCGCGTCGTCTGCTCACCGAGCTCCTTGGCCGACCAGACGACTTGGCGTGTACCTGGCATCCGCCGATCTGTTTTTCCAACCCGCGGCCCCAGAGGTCCCGACCGCTTCCCCAGGTGTAGTTTTCCGTCGTCCCGGACACTTTTGGGGGCCGCGGGTTTTCGATAATTTGCCCTAGAGGCCGAAATTGAAGGAACACGCCAGGATTGCACAACTCAAATTTTCGGAGATCCTGGTGTATTGCGAGCCCCTCCCAAATGGCCGGAGGCCCCGGGATTGTCACGAAGCGCCCCCCCGCCCACGCTCCCTCACAGGCAACGTTCGGGGGCGGAAAAGAGGGGGGTGATGACTAGGGGGGGGGGGATATCATGGCGTGGGCCATGATATTTCCCCAGATCTCATGGCGCCTCTTCTTATTTCATTACGTCCCTGGCCCCCCCGCTGGGCCGCGCACATGCCGCCGGTCATGATTTGCACCCCCCCCTTTTGGACACCCCCCTCTTGGCCGCTCCCGAAAGAACGTGCGGCTTCGCTGTCGGGGGCCTGTCGCCGATCCGTCTGCGATGCATCCCCGACTCAAGCTCGACGGTTCCCCCCCCCTGAGCTGGTCCCGCCCTAAACGTTCCCGCTCAGAGGGGCGGAGGCCCCAGGATTGTCAGGAGACGCCCGGGCTTTCGGGTCATAGCTCGGCTCTCCAGCCGCCGTTCGGGACGATTCGGGCACCCCTGGGACGCTCTCGGCAAGGAGCAGCCTTTGGCAGGCACCCCAGAGGCTGGACACCCTCCGAGAGCCAACGACACAGCCCTAAAACCGGACCTCGAACCTTCAGAGTGGGGGCCCCGAGGTTGGCACGAGGCGTCGTTCAAGGCCTAACGACGTTAGCCGTCCCTCGACTCGCGCTGGAGCGGGCACGATCTGCTCCAGTTGTGCTTGGAGATCTGCGGATGTACCTGGATCTGCCCGGATTAACACCTGGATGTACCTGGATGTAGCTCGATTTGTTTGCAGTTTCTCCCACTTCTCTGGCTTGATCCCCAAAAGTCGACTGGAGAACAGTCGTCAAGTTTTGAGGTCAGTATCGTTGAACCCATCCCCATCCCCATCCCCGTCGGTCCGTGTCATCTCAGACCCACCATCCCACCACCCCAGTCGGGGAGATGCCCCTCGACACCCGAAGAGAGCAGCCCACATCCCCATCTGGGGGGGGCCTCCTCCCTCCCTCCTCCTCCCCCCTCCTCCCTCCTCCCTCCTCCCTCCTCCCCTCCTCCTCTCCTCCTCCTCCTCCTCCTCCTCTCCTCCTCCTCCTCCTCCTCCTCTCTCTCCTCCTCCTCCTCCTCCTCCTCCTCCTCCTCCTCCCTCCCTCCCTCCCTCCTCCTCCCCTCCTCCTCCCTCCTCCCTCCTCCCTCCTCCCTCCTCCCTCCTCCAACTCGGCCCAGCGGGGCCCCGCCTGCAGGCATAGGGATCGGTTGAACCGTGCCTTGCCCCCACCCCCCCGAGGCGAGCGCCGCGGGGGAGGCCGCGGGCGGCGACGCCGCCCGGCCCGCCGAGGGGCGCCCGCGCGGCGGCGAGGGCGAGGGCGGGGCGGCGAAGGAGGAGGAGGAGGAGGACGCCGGGCGGGTGGAGTCTCCCTCCCTCTCCGGCATCCCTCGACCAGACGTAAGAGTGGCCTTTCGCCGGAGTGACCTTTTAGTGCGGGCACTGATGGGCCCCCAGATGGCCGTGCGCGAAGCGGCAGCAGCGGCTAGTGCGCCTAGATTTGGCCTCCCCGCGGCCCCCCAAAAGCCGCGCACCAAAGGTCACTCTTACCCAGGGTCACTCTTACGTGTAGCCGGATCCCTCCCGCATCCCTCAGCCTCTTCCTCTGTGTGTGCGTGTGGGTTCCGTAGCCGTGTTGGCTCAAGATGCCATCGTCCCTCGGGCAGGGAACGTACCCGTCTTCTGCTCCGAGGCTGGGCCACTGCTGCTCTTCTCCCGGCACGATCTCCGTGGCGAGCCTCTTGGCGGTCACGGGCCTCTTTCATCGTTCGTCCCATTTTGCTGGGCGGGTAAGCGGTGGAGTTTCCTTTTTTCGCTCAGGTTAGTAATCCGACCTCGTGAATCGTCGTGCCAAAATCGAGAAGTTTGAGTCGGTGAAGTCTTCGGAATCTCCTGGGCCACATCGTGGCCGCCGTGAGGACGAAGGTATCCAGCGCCGTTCCTTTCCGAGCCGTTCATTGACCAGAGCCGCAGTCGGTCAGGAGCGGGGTGTGCAGCCCAGGGCATTCGTTGGCAGGCCCAACTTCATTCGTAGACTACTCGAAGATCGACTACAGCCAAATGGCGAGTGCGGCCACCCCTTCCATCACGCAGGCGATGCAGGTTTCGCTCAACAACTTCACCGCCTCAGTGAGCGAACAGTTCAACTACCAGATCCATGAGTCGCATCGCTGTGTCATGGGGAAGCTCCTCGTCGCGTACAAGCCAGTCGGTGATGCCAGGACGGTTGCCATCGGCACTTCTCTCGGGCCATTACGCCGCATGCCGCCCGCCTCTGGTGGCATCATGATGGGATGATGTGCTGCCAGCGGCAGTGACAATGCCCAGCTGGACCCGTGGGCGGCCTTCGGTGTTCGTAACCTGCTCGCCAACGTTAGTAAGAACCTCGCCAGGGTTATACAGGACATCGAATCGTCGGCCTCTGCTTGTGTCGGAGGGGCCCGCGATGTTCCTGCGCAGTCGCCTCGCGGAGATGGAGTTGCGCAGGCCAGCTTTCAAATCGATGGCCGGAAGATGTGTATCGGCACTTTTCCGAGGTGCATGACGAGCGCCCGCAAGGCGTCGCATTGGGAGAATGTGCTCAAGCCGATGTTTCCATCGCACCTCATCGTCGAGGTGGCTCCCCAGCTGAGGGGCGTCCCCAAGATCTCTGACACCATGTTCCCCATTGCTGGAGCTGCCCGTGCATTCTCGGAGGTCATGAGCGACAAGACTTTCTGCTGGCAGGACAACTATACCTCTTTCCATATTACTCTTCGCGTGAGGCAAGCCCTCCCAGCGGACGCGGGGGCTAAGCAATGGTCTGCTAGCCGCGTCGGGGAGGAGACACTTCATGTTCCGCACGTTTGCGTCCAGACATCAGACTGCCGGCCGGGGGCAACGGCTAACATGGCCTTGCCCACCGAACCTCGCAAGAGGACGCGTTCGAGTTCTATTGGGTCAAGGGCAGCGAGCCCCTGGCTTCGTCTTAGAGCTCGCGCATGCCTCCTTCGCCTGGTGGGAGATCCCTGAGCAGGGGGACGCAAGTCTTCGCGTGACGGATTTTGCGTGACAAACTCACGCACGAGATCGACCCATGCTCAGGGGTGAGCGGGTGCGACAGAAGGCCGCGGGAGCAGCTGCGGAAGGGCTTTCCGTCAGTTTTCGGGGCCTGCAGGTTGCGCCGGGAGCCCGCTGCAGGAGCCGGCCCACCCACGCCCCTTATTAGATGTCTAGCTATTGTTCTCGCTCGCCCACTTGCTCCTCCTCCTCTCCGTCTTCCTCACCTTCCCCCTTCTTCTTCGTCTCTTCTTCTTCTTCTTCTTCTTCTTCTTCTTCTTCTTCTCCTTCTCCTGCTTCAGGCGGGCCCCAGATTTCCCCCGAGCTCCCCTCCCTGCCCGTTTGAAACACCGAATACGCCCGCCACCTATGAGTTGTCTTGGACGAGCCCCTGGCTTCAGAAAGCTACGTGGGCCAAACTTGCAGGCTTGTCCCGGAGATGCGATGTCATCGCGCTGCAAGAAATTCGCGGTGAGCTGGCCTATTTGACTACGAGGTCGAGTAAGCTGTCTCCGTTCTGGAAAATTGCATGGAATTCGATTGACCCGGCGAACGCCGGGGGGGGGGCCTCTTCGCGGCCCACGAGAGGCCCGCCATGAGGTTCAACAGATTTCGGCCGGCCCCACATGCCCCTCGTGGGATTGCCGCCAGAGGGCATTCGGTACCGGAGGTATCCTTGATGTCGCGAGCGTGCATGTCGACCAGAGCTTGTCTCATTTGCTGGCGACAGGTGTCCTTCGAGCTTGGCAGCGCCGCGTTCGGAGCAGCGCCACTGCTGCCGCCCTGACCGGCGGCGGCTGCAACATGTCGGCCATTGGCGAAGGCAGGCCGCGCGTCACTGGGGTCCCAATCGAGATTGGCCCCAATCGACTTGTCACATTCTTCAGCGAGTTGCCCCGGCATGTGTTAGAGCATTACCAATCCGACTAAACCCGTAAACACATTCATCACCAGGAAGGTGTCTCTTTGGGGCGGCTAGATTGGATATATATATATATATATATATATATATATATATATATATATATATATCAGTCTATCCCTGCTCCCGATATTCTCGACCTCGGCCCTCTTACTGGATTCGGTTAGGACCTCATGGACCACGCGCGCGCGTGTCTTGCTTACTGCTACCCCGCACTTCCGATATGTCAGAGAGCAGGGCGGAGGAGCTCAAAGAGTCTACATATGAGGCTGCTCGCCGCATCAAAACAGCGACAGGGCCGCTCGGCCCAGAGGCTGCCGCGCAGCAGATTGTTTGGATGACGGCGCTTCTCAGGGCACGCCGCGACGGACGTCGCGAAAGTATGCTCCGCGCTAGCCGTGCTTGGCCTGCCCTCCGCGACTGCCGGGGCCTTCGAGTTTCTCGGCGGCGCGATGCCCGCCGCTTTCCTGAGCTGCTCGAGAAGCTGATGGGGGAGTTCACTATCTTTCGCCAGGTCAGGAAAATGCGTGGAACCCCGAGAATTGAGGAGCCCGCCGCCGCCTGGAGGTCGTCGCACGGGCGAACGAATCTGCGTGGGCTGGCATCCGAGCCCGGCGAAACCATCGCGGGGCCGTTCGAGCGCGCGAAACAGCTGTCCGTGTGCTGGGTGGGGGGGTGGGGGGTCGCCAAGTTCAAGCCCTCTGAGGCTTCCAAGTTTCTTGCCCTGGGCCAGCGCATTCAAAGCGCCCCCCCCTGGGTTCAGTGGACCTTGAGGCGTGATCAGTTCGGGGAGCTGGTTCGGCTCCCTGGGCTGGACGGGATATCTTTACTCCGCCTGGAAGGCGGTTGGGGGGATGGCAATTGGCGCTTTCCACAGGTCGCGCGTTTCTGGCGTCAGGCGCGGATCGCCCCCCTGCCGAATTGAAAGTTCCCCTTGTCGCCTTCTCGCCCAGAGGCGAGATCTCTGTGCTCGAGCCTGGCCGGGCTAAACCATCGCGTGGTACCCGCCCGCTGACCTTATCGACCGCTCGCAACACATGGCTGGCTGGCGCTGATTCATTGCCGCTTTACCACGCCGCTTCCACTGGGGCTCATCACTCACAAGCGGGGCTCGTTCCTGGGGGGTAAATCCTGGACCGCATCGCCCCCCTTGGAATCTGAGCTCAGGGTCCAGAAAAGCGTGGACGGGGCATTTCCGGGCTGGGGGTGCACTGTACGACGCGAGGGCCGCGTTCCCATCGCCCTCCTTCCCGTAATTCTTGCACGCGTCTCAGAAGATGACGACCCGTGGTTTCTTTCTGCGCGCCATGAAGCTGCCGCGTGACTTAGTCCGCGTGTTTCATCAGCTTCAGCGGTTGCGACGAGCGCCCCGTCCTGCTTGAGGGCGCCTATTGAGCGGCTGCGCGCGATCTCTACCGACACCTTGCTCAGGTACCTCAATAAAAACCATTACTCGCCTTCGGTTTGCGCGTTCGCTCGCCGATCTCAGGCTCGCCTCCGAGTGCATCTTCGCGACTCTCCTGGCCCCCATCCCGTCTTCTCAGGGGCTTCCTGGGCGCACTGTTGAAGCTTCTGGGGGGCGTTTGGGGGCCTGGTGGGCCATCTGGCGTCGTGGGGGCCTCTTGGGGCTCCTTAGGGGCCTCTGGGTGGCGTGCGGGGGCCTCCTGTGGCCTCCCGTGCGCCGCTTGAGCGACTCCTGGAGTGGGCAATGCTTTCATTTTCCGCACGTGTTCTTATTTATTTTGGGCGTGCCCCGAATTTGGTTCTCGCGAGGTAAACTGGCCTGGACTGGCCTGGACTGGCCTGGACTGAAGTGAGCTGAACTGAACTGAACTGCCTGGTCGCACTCGTCACGCGACGGCTTTATTCCCGGCGGCAGAGGGCGCAACCAATGGCGCAACCAGTAGGAGACGGTTTTATTCTCGGCCGCCGAGGGCGTAACCTATGAGGCAGCCGATCGGAGACGGTTTTATTCTCGGCGGCCGAGCGCGCCACTTATGGTGCATCCTGTAGGAGGTGGTTGTATCATTGGCGGCAGAGGCGCAATCTATGGCGCAACCGATCGGAGACGGTTTCATTCTCGACGGCCCAGGGTGCAAGCTATGGCGCAACCGATCGGAGACGGGTTTACTCTCGGCGGCCGAGGACGCAACCTATGGCGCAACCGATTGGAGACGCTTTTATCCTATGCGGCCGAGGGCGCGAACTATGGCGCAACCAATAGGAGACGCATGTATTCTCGGCCGCAGACGCCGCGGCCATTTTGGCTCAAGGCGATGCGTTCCCCTGGGAAGGAAGCGGGTACCGCTAGTCCGCAGCTAGCCCCGAAAGCTTCCGCTGGGCCTCATAAGCTCAGCTCACTCGTGTTGCTGCTTCTCGCGTGGATAGT